AAAAATTCTGTATTTTTTTTTGTAAAATTTTTCCGTATAAATTTAGAAGGAATATGTTAAGATTATATTTTTCTGAAATTTAATAAATTTGTCTATGATTGTTAACGTTTTTATAAAATTATGAATAAACAATTCAGAAAGAATATAGTAAGACTAATTATTTTTCTGAAATTTAATATACCCTTTTTTATGCGATTTTCGGTATATTGTAACTCATTGATTTACTGTTATGCGGTTTTATAAAATAATGGAACGTATCCTTTATTTTTATACGTGTTTCTAGTCCTTTTTAAGATTTATTTTTATGCGTTTTCCTATGGAACGTATCTACCGCATAAAAAGAGAACATTTTTCGTACAACACAGTTCTATAAATAGATTCTCTATTCGCTATTCTTACAAATCCGATTAGTTCTAAACGATTCAACAATAAAAGCATACAGAAAGGTATGTAGTGCTTATCCGAAGAATTAGATTTATTTAAAAATCTGATTGTTCCACTGGACACTGTGAATTATCTCGCAGTTATGTCGTTGTAAAGTCATATAGAGGTTTATGAATATTAAATACAATATTCCTAATTAGTTTTATTATATACATCAGAGTTATTTATTGAGAAGTCAACTATACAACTCTCCAAGTAAGACCATGTTCTCCCACAAGGTCAAAACTGTTTTCCTATCCAAGTAACTTATATAATGTATCTATTTCAAAAAGGGGTTGCGTCGGAAAGGAAATATTTAGGGATAGAAGAGGGTTGAGTATTGATAAAAATGGTCACAACTAAACGATTTAATGTGTAACCGTTTTTCGGAATATTCCACAAGTTATTCTAAATAATTACGAATAAGTGAAATATGATTTGTAACAATTAAGAGGAAAGTGGTAGACTTAATACGTGTATACATATTAATTATACAAAAAATGATAATAAATTGGTCGGCTACGACACTACATCAAAAATGCATAACTACTGATAACGAAGTATGAAAAAATATCTGGTAAATTCAAATTACAAATAGTGCATAAATAAAAACATTCTTTTGAAAAATACATAAAATTGTAGGTAAGTAAAAGCGACACAAACACATAAGAATAATATGAATACTCTGGTGGTATTATGAGTGAGGAAATAATAGTCAATCAAAAATAATTGGCCGATGATTAAAATACCAAAGAAAAAGTAAAAGGATGTGGTGTCTGGAGGATGCTGCAGTTTACGTGCGGCTATTTACGGAAGAGGAGGATAATTTCATAGATGACCAATTTTATGCATATTCACGAAATTCGTAAATAATACGACGTGAAGAATTTAAAATCTTCGAAGAAACTTATCATTGTGGTAATTCACACGAATTATAAAAATTAACTTTGCGTTGCGTAACAGAGCGAAGGATGAGGGAAACACATATAGTAGCATTAGCGAAAGCAAGTCTTCATTGCACTTAATAGAAAACGACGATAATTGAAAACCTTGGGAATTTTAACGTAAATGCTTTTTTGTATACGCATTCCATGCCCCTGTAAGCCTTAGCTTTTTCGGCATTACGATAGTTACAATTTTAAATAAAAAGAAAAAAAAAGGAAGTGTTACATTTGGCTTAATTTACGGGTGAGTGTGAGTTTACATAAAAAGTTTTACATGATTTGATATGGAGTGTTGTGTGTGTGAGTTTTTGTTTGCAGATGAAGTGTGTATAGAAGAGTGTTTATGAGGGTGGTGTGTATGAGTAGTGTGTGGGTTACTTGGTGATTTTGTGGCAATTGAATGCTGGATTGATGACTTCTGCGAGTGCGGTGAGGATTGGATCTTCGTAATTTGAACATATTGCAAGTATTGCTGGAGGGCATGGAATTTTTAATTTGGGGTTTCCGAGAAAGGCATTTTCCTGAAGGAAGGCGAAATAGTGATGATGTGTGGTGTTCTTGTGTGAGAATGCGTTGAGCCAGCCTGCCTTGGAGGGTTTTGATGTCGGTGATTTTTGGGGGGTTTACTAGATTATAGTGATGTTCGGAGGGGTATCTGGGTGGGAAGAGCAGGATTTTCCGGATTACTTTTCTTGTGTGGATAAATGTGTGGTATGTGTGTAGTAGCGTTTTTGCGGAGCATCCGCCGTATTTGGATCGAAGGCTGGCAATGAGGCGGTATCGTTTGTTTAGAAAGCGGTTAAGTTGGTCTCCGAGGTATTTGGAGCTGGCGGTTCCCTCAATTTCCTGGTTCCAAAGCGTGATTTGTGGGTTGACGTTCTTGAAGCGAAGATTTGCTGGGATTAGGTTTGATGCGCCACCTTCTCATCCAATTCTCTAACCGGCGGGTTGCTGCTTGAAGTGAATCGATGGCGATGCCTGGTCCATAATGTGTACTGTGGTGCTCACTCCAGCCCCTTTATATGCTGTCACTTTCCAGCCCGGTACGGTGCACCCCACTTCAATCCGGTATAGTGCGCCCCACTTCAATCCGGTATAGTGCGCCCCGCTCCAGCCCGTACCCCTGTTTAGGTTATATAAGCTGTAGAATATCTATAATCCCTCTCTGGAAAGCCTCGGACTCGCTATGCTGTAAGATATCTTAAAGTTAAGTATTTGAGCTTAAGATGAGGGGGACGGCGAATTCTCATCTACTTCATCGCTGGGTTCTAGTACGGCCCAACGAACATCGGGAGATAATCCGCATGCCTTAGCGCATCTTCTCAACTGTTGCTGGTCAATGTGGAACTTAATCTTGCGTAACAACCGGAAGAGCTACGGGCTTGCTTCACAAGCTCTTGTCGTGTCATTGGTTGGTTAGTGTTTGGGTCTACCGGTTGCTGCATTATAACGACTTCGAAGATTGCTGGATGGTAGTGGTTATAGTTGTATGGCACGTACGTATGAAACAAATTTGGAAACTTGTTATAATGCAGCAACCGGTCGACCGGTTGCTAATGAAGCAAGCTCTTCCGGTTCTTACGCGCGAAGGCATGTGGATTATCATCCGATTTTCGTTGGGCCGTACTAGAACCCAGTGATAAAGAAAATGAGACTAGTCGTCTTCCTCATCTTAAGTCCAAATACTTAATATGTATATATATGTATCTTTACGTATATGTATATACACCCAACCATGCTTATGTTATTCGCTTTAAGTTTAAGAGATCTTACAGAGAGTCCGAAGCACACAAGACCAAATATGTTTTTTTCATTTTAATTAATCTTCATTGTTTTTAAAATTCATACATAATTTGTACATGATAATGGAGACCGGTATGGGCTTTAACCTCTTTCGGTCTTCAGAAAATTACAATATAGAAACACATTCATTAATAGAGTACATAGTCTACATCAGCGGTCGCCAAACTTTTTGACCTCACGGACCAGTTAATTCATAATTTAAATCCCGCGGACCACTAATAGGATAACTTAACATGATGAGTAAGTATATTCCACATTTTTCTGCGGACCAGCGAAATTTTCTCACCACTTTGGCAACCGCTGGTCTACATAGAGTAAAGTAATATAGAAAATATGACATAAAATTAAGGGACCCCTATATAATAGTTTTGACGCCACTGATTTTGACTGAATATAACCGCAAATATCATATTGTCGTGTCCCAGGGATGGAATTCTGGACACAGTGGAATATTGTCTGGTGTTATCGTTGTGGAGTCTCAGTAGTTGGGAATTAAATAATTCAATTGGTTTAAAACAAGTTTATTATAATTGGTACTCTTGGGGTCACTTTCCAAGACAATGTAGTTTAATCGACAGGTTGACTAAGACTATCAATCTGAAGGTTTTACTGAGACTATGCTCATCATATAAACGTTTTACTGAGACTAATTATAAAATACTTATATTACTTACAAAGTTAATTCTTATTGATACGGGGTGGGAGTTGTGATCGGTTGTAGGGTTTGTTTATATTGATGACTAAGCGTTCCCACGGCAATCGGCCTCGGTGATTTTGTTTATTATAATTCTTGAAGCAATTTAGAATATCACGTAATATTATGACATAATTTTTGAATACTTTACAAAATAAATTGCGAGACACATTTCTCTCAATTGTTATAAACTGTTTAAAAATGATTAAAAGAAAAGTTTGAGTTTGTAATTCACGTAAGATATTTAACTTTTCACCCAGTCCATCAAAAACACAGAAATAAATGTTGTTGCAATAGAGTTCACGGAACACATTATAACACTGAGCGACACATTAGAGCGAAAAAGGGTATGTGGTGTGGTTTTAGGTCACTGGGGGAGGGGTAAGCATTGTTTGTTAATCTTTTCGAGGAGTTAGGTTAGGATCGGGTCGTTGGAATCGGCGTTGCGTGCAAACATGGAATGCGGGGGTGAGGGATTTTGGCTTTGGAGAGGGATGCCTCTGAATGGAATATGAAGAGTGATAGGGTGGAGTGTCTGTGAAGGGATATGCGGGATGCGAGACGGCCTTGGAGTTTTTTTTATAAAGTCGAGAATGTTTGTGAAGAAGACCAATTTGTAGAGGGTATAGGTTAGCTTAGGGTATCATTCAAACTGGAGGATTATTTTGAGTTGGGGAAAGGAAGTGACGTCATATAAACATGCTGGAGTGAGCACCACAGTACAATTAGGTTGTCGTACAACTTCAATTCAATATGTTGAGGCACGCGGCTAAAAAGCATTTTAACCCTTCATTACTCGCAAGGTGTCTTTGAGAAGCCAGTGGATACAAAAAACATATCTATGTACTTCTTCACACTGACTGACGATTTGTAAAAGCAAATTACGCCATTTTAGAATAATGGACATAAGTCATATTTTATTTAATCGCAAATCTTCTATTACATTTTCTTTATTTTTTATTTACAATTCGCTAGAACCAATATAAGCTATATTTAAATCAAATAAATTAATCGTCAACTGTGCACAAATTTAATTAAAATAGAATAAAGGATATTTGAATGTATACAAACAAAAATGTATTAATTTGTATTTTAAACCATATAAAATATAATTGAATTTTCTTTTATTAATTTAACTAATGGTGCATCTCATCAAAATAATTATAATATTCATCAGAATAATAATCGTAGTCACTGTTATTGTCATCATCTTCGTCATCATCATCATCATCATCATCTACCTCTTGAATGCATCTAAATAAAATAAAATATATAATATTCTGTTATATAATTGAAAATATCATCTTACGGTTTGCAAGGTTGCTTATAATGTCTGTTGCAAACAGTTCCTTTGACACAGGGAACCACAAAATTAAAAATGATTGCTGTATCTTTGTCCTTTCCGCATCTGAAGAAACGTGGTTCTGGACATTTCTTCTCAATACACCTAAAAAAAAAACAAAATAATTAATAAAATATATTACGCAATATTTAATAATTTATTTACGGTTCGCATAAGTTCTCGTCACGAATATTGCATTCATTATATTCGCCGCACTTGTATTTCATGTTTTCAATGTACACTGAACTAAGATCGTCGTTATCGCATTCGTGATTACCTACGCATTTGTAATCATCATAGATGCATCTAAATGTTAATGTTTAATATAGTTTGCTTCATAATTTATAAATAATAAATCTTACGGATTGCATGGATAGACATTGTGTACGTTGCAGACTTGACCCTGCATGCAGTATACTTTATGACCTGAATACATGATCACCTCAGTCGGATTTTTCGGATTGCAAGAGAAATTTTTGGAATAGCATCGCGCATTTATTTTCAACACGCAAAATGCAAGACAAATTATAATAGCTGTAAGTTAAATAAATTAGTTGATTCTATTATTATATTAAACTTATTCACCTTTTAACATTATCTTTATTATATGAACAATTAATGGAACTTTCTTCTTTATATAATGGAAACATCATCAATATTTGCAGAGATTAGCACAATTTACGATTGTATGGAAAATTTTGGGAAAACATAAACATTATCTAAGATAACTTTGTAAATTATATCTAATGTAACAAAAGAACATACAAAAACTGAAAATCACTTAAATGTCTTGAATGATTCACTTAACACAACGAATCAATATTTGCAATATCTATATCAAACGCAATAAAATCATCCCTTTTTTGGATTCATTGAAAAATATATCGTCTAAAATAACATCACTCGAAAACGATCATTGGTTAGAATCAAACCACATCAAAAACTGAATTGCATCAAAAAAGATCATTACTATCAATTCGGTGGAATTATATAGGTGTTGTATATATTTAGAGCTGTATACATGGAACTAAACAATCAATGAATATGGTTACTGTCAACAACTAATGAAACTGGAGGAATCAATCAAAGAAAATTGGCCAGAATTGGTAAATTATGTTCCACCAAATCAATGCAAATCCTCACACATTTTGGTAAGTCATATAGATCTGATTACTATTTATTTGCAAAACTCTTTGAATGACAAAACTTTCTCTAATTATGATAACCTAAAATTGCACTTGTTCAGTTTATTGCTAATAAAGATCAGCAGTTTTATGTGGAACCATGAAGTTGCCAGGAAGATGCCAAAAGGTTATCGGACAAAATTCTTCAATTATAGAACTTTTTGGTTTACGGCCAAAAAAATAAATTAAATGTGAAAAATCTGAATATGCAAACATACAAATAATTGATTCGTTATTACTCTTTTCGCCGTAAAATGAGGTATGGGTATACTTGATTAATGTTCATTCTTTGTATACAAAAAAAAATAAGTTTTATTTCACACTAAAAACGTACTTTCTAACCGACCCAAAGTAAATATATTGATTATAATTTTAAATAATTAAATGAATTGCATATATTTTAAACAATAATACAACAAAAACTATGAAAAAGAAAACATATAAAGTTAATCATATAATAACTAAATTTACTTTTCACGTAATTCATGGGTATACTTTTTCATAAACAGTATTCGCTAATTTCAACATCAAGTTCGATGATTTGTTATTATCCACGCATCTAAAACAATATATAATTTACATTGATATCACATAAAACTTTGTAAATTTTCTTACGGATCGCAAGTCGGTCCAGGATTGTTATTACAAATCGACTTATTCGGACAATAAAATAGAGTTGAATTGATCAATATCATTGTCGGTTCATTCACGATGCAGCTGAAATCTGGACAATCTTGACTAATACATCTGAAATACAAATACGTATATTTTCACTTATGCAATATTTAATTTATTACTGTACACTAAATACTCCGTCTGAATTCTCAGTACACTAGACGTAATTTCCATTATTAGACATTGTTTTGCTAAAATTATCTTTATTTAATTAAAATTCATCAAAAATTTATTTAGTCAAATATGAGCAATTATGTTTATAACTATTATTTGATAAAACGTATATAGCAAAAATCTTGTATAATCCGGTTTTGTTTGTTCGCATTGTTTGAAACCGGACTAATTGAGGAATAAAAAATAAAAAAATTATAATTTTGTTCAATTAAAATTTAGTTTGTTTTGAAAATTGTCAAACCGGATTATAGTGAATCCGGACAGATCGAAGCCTATGTATTGCTGTACTAAATATACTTACGGTTCGCATGGTTCTTTGTACATTGAATTGCAGGTTTTCTTATCAGGACATTCCATGAGACTTCCATTGATAACGACGGATGTCGGGTGGCTCACGATGCACATGAAGTTGACATTACATTTCAATCCGACACAACTGGAATTCTATGTCTAAAAGTGGTAAATACATAAATTGTTGTTAACTTACAAAGTGCATGGTTCTTCATATTTTTTATTGCATATGGAATTCCCCATACACGAAAACTCCATGTTATTGAACGTTACAGACTTTGGGTCTGTGATTGAACACGTATGGCTCTTGTCACACTCAGCATTGATCAAAGTTATCACAACAGCGATGAATAATATGAAACCTTAAATACAATCAAATTGAATCAATAAATAAGTAAATCAAATTCACTTACACTCCTTTGTCAACAACATATTTTTCTTGTGCACTTTAAAACTATTATTGAACAAAAAATGTTTATTTACAGCAGTTTATATAACGATCCAAAAAAGCAATAAAGTTTTCATTTTTATTAAATATGAACAAGTTAACTGTTAAAAGCACATTTCATAGTATTATTCAAAATCTTTATAGACGCATAAATTATAGATTATGATTTGCATTCGGGTATAAATACAGATGGAAAAGTTATGTTTTTCACTCGAGGTTTGAACTTTCGGTCACCAAAAATGGGATACATTAACTGGAGCTGTATAATTTCTAATAACAATTAACACATTCATTTACTAATAGTATTATTTTTTAGTTGTATTTATAACTGTAGCAGTTTGTACTGGCGCAGACCAAAAAATCAAATGTTCTCAGGAGAAGTACACATGTAATCCCACAGATTTGAAGGAAGTTAGCATGGATAATGGTATGAAGATGTCATGCGATGGAAATACAGTTTGCAACAGTGAATACCAAAAACCTTGTATACCGTAAGTTTTTCTACCTCAAAATTCTATATAATTAAATATTTTTTTGTAATAAACAACCTTTATGCAAGTCTACCAACCCTAGATCATTCCAGTCTAATATTACTACAGAAAGACCTCGATTAGCGTTTAGAATGTGTTAGAGCTGTTTTAGATTTCAAATAGAGTTTATGGATAAAAAAAACTGTTTACTATTATTTATATTTATACTTTAATTAATGTTTCAATTCTATTTAGATGTATAGAATCAAGTGAAGGTGGATTTCTTGGTAAAAAAGAAGTTCTCTGTAAGTAAATCCTTTTTTATAATGAAACAATTCAAATTCTTCATTAATATTTTTGTTGTTTTAGCAACTGATTGCAATGATGGCAATGGAAGCAACTTCCCATGTAGAAGGCATCCAACAGATAGCAAATTGTACATCAAGTGTAATCACTTCATTTTCCGCTATCAAAAGTCCATTCAGCGATGCACGGATTTCGTTAAAAACGAAAAAAATAACAACAAGTGCAAATTATTAGATGTTTGCCTGTAAATCAACAGATAATCAATAAAATAATTATCAAGCATATACCATTGAATTTGTCAATAATATATTGCCCCCAATTTGGATTATAATTAGCGATAATTACAATAATATTTAATTTTTAAATGATGGAAGTTATTCAACTTTTTAACATCTTTATTTTATACAATTAATTACATAAATACTACTAAAAAAAGTACTTTTTATATATTAATAAATTAGAGTTAAAACTTACACAAGCAAATTAATTAGCTTTTGAATATTGAGTTATTAATTGCTTTCTACAAATTCTAGGAAATTTTAATACAAAAATTATTCTCAGAAACTTTTAAAGTAGATAAAGTGAGCATTTAATTATTTTTATGCAGACTAAAGTAATATTGTAGAAAAAAAAACTTAAAAGTTGTGTTTTATGTTGAAAACATGTTTTTACTAATTGTAGAATAGATGGAGAATATTATATTTGTTGTATAAGCCGCATTATTTTATGAAAATCTTTACATAACAGATTTTTGTAGAAATTTGAAAAAAAATCAATAAATAATTAGAGCAGATAAAACGAGAATGTTTGCAGACGAAGGTATTATTAAAAAAACACTATAGTTTAAACACTTATGGAAATTTCAATATAAACATTTTCTTGGTAACTTTGCTGTATAACTAATAAGTATTTTTTGTAGACTAACGTATTATTACCAACAAAATATTACTTAACAGATTTTTGTACAAATTTGAAGAAATTTCCATTCAAAAGTAATTCTGATTAATTTTAAATTAGATAAAACGAAAATTTTAATAATAGTTAAAATATTTTTGTAAAAAAATGAAGAAATTTTAATACCTAAATAATTATTGGTACCATTAGAGCAGGCCAAATCACATTGAAACATCATTCGTTATAACAATTATTTAGAAGAAATTAACGTAAATTGTAGGTAGGTTAGAATTTTAAAGATTTTTTTTTTTTTTTTTTTTTTTTTTTAAATATTGATGAGAAGCAACAAATAAATGATTTTGTACTTCTGCCGTAACAGGTAGGTTAGATCGTAAATTGTAAAAAAAAGAATCATATACATAAGTTTATTAAATTTTATATTGTATCAATTTCCATATTTTTTTACTTGATCAATGACTTTCTACCCTTTTTGGTAGATCTGGTAGATTGATCGATTGACACGAGGAAAATAATTGTGAAAAGAAATTTAAAAGTAAATTAATTATATTTTTAAATCGATAATTCATTTATATTTTCATATAACAAAATCAAATTTAATTATAATATTCATTTTGAAATACACCTGAAAAGAACAACAAAATCAATATAGTATAACAAATAAAGCATAATAATAATTACGGTTCGCATGGTTCCTTATTTTCTCTATTACACACTTTATCCGAAGAACAATTGACTACACCAACTCCTTTCATATTAACCTTCTGCAAAGAATATGGAAAACATTTGAAATTCGTGCACTTGGGTCTAGGAGTCGTTGGTTTTTCTATAACTTCCACGGGAATACAACTAAAAGCAAATCAAATTTTATAAAGAAATTCATACAAAGTTTTATAATTAAACTTACGCAGCGCATGGTTGTTCATAATTTTTATTGCAGACACTATTAGAACTGCACGTCATCTCAAATTTAACTCCGGCAATCTTTACTTTCTTTACATCATCATCAAAACATTGATAACTTTCTTTATTGCAAGTGGAATTTTTGATGTCTAGAGCCATAGGGTAATCTTCTAAATCACCATATTGAGGATAAATGCAGCTATGAACAAGATTAATCTCATATATCTTAAGTTTTTGATAGAGTATTTGGTTTCACAATTAGTCCGGTTTCAAACATTTCAACAAATTACCCGGGCTAAACAAGGTTTTGCAGTACTTTCAATTAACCACTTACCTAGTATAAGGAGGCACACAGTTAATATTGCAAATTTCACCATGATGACAATGATAACTATTGTAAAAATCTTTTTCATATATTTTGGTGGGATCATAAGGATCACATCGGAAGTCGCTGCATTCTTCGCAACCGGCAGAAACTGCCAAAGCCATCGATAAAATAAAGAATAATTTTACTAAAAATGAAATTAATATATCTTAATGTATATTTTATATAAATAATGGCGAACCTATTTTGAAACCCATATTAAATTCTTCAAGTGAATGTTAAAATCTGTGAAGAAACATTTCATTTATATTTTCAAAGCTATAATAAAATGTAACGATAAGTTTTTTGTTTGTTTGTTTATTATTGTTTTAAGATCATTTTAACACTTAAAACATAAAAAAAGGAAATAAAGAAAATAATATTTTAATATATTTTTTAGTGGTTTAACAAAAATATTAATAGACTTATTTTAATATTTTATGCAGGATCCTAATCATACTCCAGTATTTTTCTAAATTATTACTTTAAAACGCAGTACATTTTTGTATATCTAATGTACAACAAAATCCATGCTTACAAGATAATATTGTGTTGGCAAGAAAGAAATATCGGTTATCACAAATAGATAAAAAAATGTTGTTGGTTTAGTTCAATTTTAACATTATTATACTGAAGTTTATGATAACCAAATCCATAATTGAATCAGATTATATAACTGTGCAAAGAGATTAAATATATCACATACACCAACTGAAAATCACTTAAATATGTTGGACTCGTGAATACTCTCGACATTCGTGTAGATTCTTAAACGAATCATCATCATTGGTAAACACATGAATCATTGTAGACGATCAATCAAAAACTATCAGAATCCAAGCGTAATGAACGAGCACAATGCACATTGAAAAGCTTCAAAATAGATCATTCTATAAATTTGATAAGATTAGAAAGGTTTTATGTTCTTTAAGATACATCAAAGGAAAAAAAGTGTTTGCTGATATAGCCCTGAAACCATTAGATTACTATTTATTTCGAAGTTTGCAAAACTTTTGGAATGGTAAAACCTTCACTAATTATGATGACCTTAAATCGCACTTACTTCAGTTTTTTACTGATAATGAAGTTTCCAGTATTGTGAATGAATTCCAGATCTTGAAAAATAAAAAATACATATTTCATTCAAGTTCCTTCTTTATATATAAGAAATGAATTTTATTGGACACTAAAAATCCGTAATTAATTTCTTTCAACCGAATATTTATAGTAATAACTCGAGTAACGAATAGAATGCGTTCCATGAAATTCGTTAGTTAAGCAATACAGGTTACTTACGAAAAACATTCTAGAAGCTCTAGCTTGTTACCAAGAAATATATAGTGATAAAAAATTAACTGTCCAAAAAAAACTTGATAATTTCTTTAATAAAATATAATATTTTTGGAAGCTGTACTATATGTTTTGTTGTATTTGTTTCTTTTGTCGTTTTTTATTAAATAATTGTGATGTCTACATTGAAAAGTAATTGCAAGTAAGTATTTTGTTTATTTTAAACTATTGTTTCAAATGTATACAGTCAGTAATACTGAATTTAACATATATAAAAGTAAAAACCATGGTAAAGTGTGGTAAAATAAGTATATTTTGATTTTTTCAAATTCGACTTACGAACAAACCTTTGGAACGGAACTAGTTTGTATGTCGGGGGATACCTGTAGTTTGTATTCAGAGTAAACATACTATGAACAGAATTAACAGATTTTTCGTAAAGTAAATGAAACGTTATTTTTTAACAAAAAAAAACATTAAATAAACAATATGAGCCTAATGTAGATTATTTCACTTTTATTTAACAATTTCATATACGGAGTTATTCCATTTAATTATTCATTAATTTGGTCTTCATTTTCTTTGTGTTAGTTGTTAAAAGGTTTTCTAAAAATTTCATTAAAAAACATCATTTTTTGGTTCAATACATTTATAACATTCTCTTCATTAACATTTTCAAAACTTATTTATTTAGCTATCTGAATATTTTTATTTATTGGATATTATTTTATAACAAATTTTCCCAAACTTCGCTTGAAATTGCATTTATATGTTTATAGGTAAGAAGAAATTATTTGGAACAATTCAATATCTGGATCCTCAAGATGTTGTCAATCATCGTATATCATTTTGAGACATCTTCATAAGTTTTTGTCTATAATTGTTTCTCGTAATTTTGTGGAATTAAAAAAAATAGTGTGTAGTAAATTGAATTTTTCATATGATTGTGTAGCTATTAACAATATTCCTAATGTTCTCTAAATAAAACAATAGTTTAATGTTTATGTTAAATCATTCAGTAAATTTATTATATTTATTGATTAAAATGTATAAATAATGGAATTTTTTCTATATTCAAAATAAATTTATTTTAATTGGTTTAATTACATGTTTTATAGGTAAGAAGTAATTGTTGGGAACAATTCAGTATTTGGATCTTCAAGATGTTGTCAAACGTAGTTTATCCTTTTGAGACATCTTCAGAAGAGTTCAGAAGATCTACAATTATTCCTCGTAATTTTGTCAAATTAAAAAAAATAGGTTGCAATAAAGTGAATTTTCACATGATTATGTAATTATTAACTATATTCTTAATGTTCTCTAAATAAAACAATCCTTCAAATGCAGCTAAAACAAAACATGAAATAATTGCGTGATTAATGCACTGAATGAATACTTACAAATTACAAGGTGGAACATATTTCACATTGCAGACGGTATTTTTCGGACATTGCAAAACGTTTCCACTAACATTTACACTTGTTGGTTCACCATATATACATGTATACTTTGTAACGCAATCGTTTACGATGCAACTGAAAATATTGATATCGAATTTATTATTAATAATTTTAGTTTATAATCATTAATAATTACATGTCGCACGGTGGTTCATAGTCTTTGTTACAAATACTATCACCAACGCATTTTGCTTCAATTCCATTAATAATTGCTACCTTAGGATTATCTGAACTACACTCATAATATTTTGTCTTGCACGGATCTGGTAATGTTGAATTAATTGGTATACACCTAAAATTTTCTATATTAATCACACCT